TCCTAATGGTTCCTAACATTGTGTTAGCCTTTGACTGCTGCTGCATATCGAGCAGATGTTTTCAGAGAACTATCCACAATGACTCCAAGCTCTCTTTCTTGAGTAGTAACAGCTAATTTAGTCCTCATCATTTTGTATGTATAGTTGGGATTATGTTTTGCAGTATGCATTACTTTGCATTTATCAACATTGAATTTCATCTGTCATTTTGTTGCTCAGTCACCCAGTTCTGTGAGATCCCTTTCTAACTCTTCGCAGTCAGGTTTGGACTTACTATCTTGAGTAATTTTATATCTGCAAACTTTGTCACCTCACTGTTTACCCTTTTTTCCACATTATTTATGACTATGTTGAACAGTACTGATCCCAGGATAGATCCCTGGTGGATACTGCTATGTGCCTCTCTCCATTCTGAAAACTGACCATTTATTCCTACCCTTTGTTTCCTGTCTTTTAACCTGTTACTGATCCATGAGAAACCTTCCCTCTTATCCCATGACTGCTTATTTTCCTTAAGAGCTGTTGGTGAAGGACCTTGTCAAAGGTTTTCTGACAGTCCAAGTACACTATATCCACTGGATCACCCTTGTCCATATGTTTGTTTGACCGCCTCAAAGAATTCTAATAGATTGGTGAGGCATGATTTCCCTTTACGAAAGCTGTGTTGACTCTTCTCAACAAATCACGTTCATCTATGTGTCTGATAATTCTGTTAGTTACTATAGTTTTAACCAATTTGTCTGGCACTGAAGTTATGCTTACTGGTCTATAATTGTCAGGATCGCTGCTAGTTGCCATTGCTGGACTTATCCTCTTCCTGTTATGTCACCCTCCATATGATGGGAAACAACAGCTGGTTTGGAATCCCTGTTACAAAGTGGACATCAATATAAAGGCCATTGTTAGGCTTCTGCATGGGATCCATATTCATAGATTCCAAGGTCAGAAGGGACCATTGTGATTCTCTCTTCTGACCTCCTGCATAACACAGGCCAGACACTTGCCCCAAACCATTCCTAGAGCAATGACATGTGGGGAGGGGGCTGGGCTCAGGCAGAGCCAGGAGAGTGGCAATGGGAGCCAAGGCCTACAGGACTGCGTGGGTGTCTCTAGATGAGAGAACCAGTGTGGTCCAATGACTAAGGCAGCAGCTGAGCTCTTCCATTGCCCTGCTGTGTGAGTCACTTCACCTTTTTATGCCTGTGTTTTGGCTCTTTAGATTGGAAGATCTGCAGGGAATGGTCTATCTTCTCTTACTATGTGATTGTATAGCGCCTAGCATGATGTGCTGAGCTAGAGCTACCAGAAATCATTAATGACAGTAAGGGAGCTACAGCTAGGGAGTGGCGGCTTGTGGCCCATGAGTTAGGAACTGGATTTGATTTCCTTAGCCCATGTGTATTTACTCTAGCTTCAGGTGCATTCCAGCTAACACCTTGGACCTGTGACAATGTAAACTCATTTACTATTCCAGAGCATGTTTGGTGGGACTCTTTCATTTGTTTTCCCCAGACAAAAACTCCAGAAGGAACTATTTAAAAGAAAACCCCACTGCTGAAACAAACATGTTTTATTGAAGGAAGTATTCAAAAATAGGCTGATCATCAGCCAAAACGAAGGATAACATCTGTTAAAGTAATTGTATAGTATCAGGCATAGCTATGACACTGTAGCCATAATAAATAATTAATACAAATAAATCATCATTCTTACTTAAAATGGGAACATTAATTAGTAATGGGGTGTATGGAACAAGCTTCCGTGTTTTCAATTAGGGTTTGTTTGCACTTGTTTTGAGATTGCTGGTTACCAGGTATCCTTGATATTTTATGAAAGCTCAGAAATGTCATTTTGGATTGAATTTCTATTTCCATTCTCCTAAACTCAGACTGTTTTACATTCCACAGATGATGAGACCAGACATGTAAAATGTTAGCTTAAACTATTCTTTCCCTAATGACAGAGGCACTAGAAATTAAATTGGTTGAAAGAACTGGGAAAATATGATGAATTTTGCTTTTCATTTGACCATTTTTTTAAAAAAGTGAAATGACAAAAATGTAAAAATTCCAATGAGCTCTATACTTGGTTGAAAAAAAAGGGGGGGAGGGGGCATGGAGATTGTAAAAATGTCACTGATTTTCCCGTTTTTCAAATTTACAGAAATTGAAAATTGTCAAAATTGTCTCAGACGCAGCATATAAGTAGATGTACAAAAATGTATAGCTTTCCTGGCACTTACTTCATTTTTAAAGCTAAATTTACATAGCAAAACTCATTTTATGCAGTAACTTATTTACCTTGACTATATTCATTCTTTGGATAGGGTCCTCCAATAATTTAAAAATAAGAAGGGGAGTAAAGCTATGATCTGCATTTCTGTTCAGCTGCGCACAGGCAAACTCCATTCTAGAGCAGGAAGGCCCTGGTTGTTTCCCATCATATGGAGGGTGACATAACAGGAAGAGGATAGGTCCAGCAATGGCAACTAGCCAAGATTGTCAGGGACACATCCCCAGCTCTGGGTGCCCCTAACCCTCCAAATGCCAGAAACAGGGACTGGATGAAAGGGGAGGGATCACTTGATAATTGCCCTATTCCCGCCTAAGCGTCTGACAGTGGTCACTGTCAGAAGACAGGATACTGGGCTAGATGGACCATTGGTCTGACCCAGTATAGCTATTCTTATGCTCTTAAGAGTCCTTTTGCTTTCTAAAACCAGTTCTAAACTCATTAATGGATGTTTTTGATGGGAATAGTACTAAAGGGAACCATTCATTTAATCCCCCCACCAAGTCTGACACTTTTTCACATACTCTTCTTTCAAGCAATGCTTCAGTCTCTTCAGTGATGCCAATCTGAAAATCTACTTTTGTTCCTATTTTTCCATTACATTTTTACTTTTGACAGCTCTTTTTGTCAAGTCACTTTGTGTTTCTCCTTGTTTATTCAGTTTCCCCTGCAGGAGGGGGGAGACAAATCATATTTAAAAAAAAAATGAAAATTTGATTGTACAACAAAAAAGGGCAGGCGGACTCAGGGGCAGGGTTAATACCTGGGATAATTTTTAACTGTTTTAAAAAGACACCCGATTTCAAAATGAAAGTATCCTTTGAACACAGATTGGATTTGTTTTACTCCACTTGGCTCAAGGCAGTTGCCTCTGAAACACGCATCTAGCAAAGCACTTAGGCCCAGCTCCTCAAAGGTGTCTAGCTCCCACTGAAATACTTTTCAGGATCTGGGCCTTAAGCACAAGCATAATATCAAGCACTGATGCACTGAAGACAGTGGGACCATTCCCATGCTAAAGTGCTTTGCTGCATCAAGGCCTGGGAGCAGAATAACTCTGTAGCTAGAGCAACACAGAGGAACTCTGCAACAAACACGAAAAATATCCTGATTAGGAAGGACAGCAGATATGTTGTAAAGCAAAGGGAGCTAGAGCAGCAGATATGTTGTAAAGCAAAGGGAGCTAGAGCAAATGCAGTGAAACCTTGTAAACCCTTTGGAGTCTGTGGAAATATATCACAGCCTTGTAAAAGTACCATGAAAAGCATCCTCAAGTGAGTGGGAGGTAGCATTTGGGAAGGCTGTTATATTGATTGTTATGTAAGTAATACACCATATCCAGCCATTCTAGTCACACGGGGGGGGGGGGGGGGGGGGGGGGGGGGAGAGGGGCAGATCTGTCATTAAGGCACAGCTAGCGGTAGGCAGAGGTGCAGCTCTGCCCTATAGGTCTGGGGCAGCATTGTGTGGCTCCACCTGCTCCCTGTCCGTTTTGGCATGGCTTGAGATTCAGGAAGCACTTGCAAGGAGCAGCTCCTGCACTCTGGAGTGGCCACGGACTGCAGAGGTCCCTTGCCAGTGGGACGCTAGGAGAGTGTTTGCATCCTCCGTCTTTGTGCACCTGAATAAGGCAAAGCCACACGCCACCTTGCAGATATACCTTAAATTCACAGTGCTACTGGCCGTAATGGCTAGGGGCCGTGTCCCTCTGGTGCAACTGGGGAAATCGTGAGGCACTGTAGAGTTCATTGCTGAACCTAGTGGATTCTCAGTACACAGAGTACACAGTACACAGGATGTGGTTTCATATGTGCTTCCTATGCTCTTCAGCGCATGACACTGTGAAGCTGATCCTCTGCACTGCACCTTGTGTAACACTTTATGCACATCCAAGGGGAGGATCTAAGCAGCTACCGTTCTGACCAGATAATATTTTACGCTCCTTGGTGTAAGCAGCGGCATAAAGTGCAAGCTCACAGAGAGCCAGCACCTGCATATTTATGTGACAGAGCTCCGGTGCTTTCTGTAATGTGCTTTAGACAAGTGCACCTGCTTGATCAGATCTGTTCCTGCAACCTGCTCCTGAGTTTCCAGCAGTTCCCTGAGTCAGTACTAAGTATAGCAGCCCGGCCCATTTCTGGGGCTATGGCGCCATCGAGTGGACGTTTCTGTACATGTGTGTTCTCAGAGAACTTGCCAAGCATTCCCAGCTGTGTCAGTGTTTCCTTTGTCACCCTCTGCATTGCTTTGGGGGGGGGTTAACAGAGTCCTGTTTCTTGTATCTTATCTTTTGCTCCCAGCTATAAAATCAGGGCCTGATTCCCGCTCCTAGGGGAACACCCCCAGTGTGAGGTGGGGAAGGGGGATGGAAACCTGCTGAGGCTCTCCTTGTGGAGAGTGTTTCAGTGGGGAGAGGAGGTTTGCCCACTGTAGACCAGGCCACAGGGCAGCCCAACCATCCCACAGTGTGGGAGAACCAGCCGTCCATCTGAGACCCTGTGCCCCTGGCGGGCTGCCCCAATCCCTCCCCCGCCTGCTCCGTGGCAAAGTGCCTCCTACGGAACTGAGCTGATGGGGCCTCACAGCAAGCAGCTGTCACTAGGATCCCTCCTAAAGGGGGTTCCCCAGCGCAGACAGTGGGGAGGCATTAAAATAACCTAGCTGTGGCCTGTATTATCTTTTCATGGAGATGTGTGCAGGGCTCTGGGAGTCCAAAATGCATCCCCACCCTGCCAGGGCCCTGCCCTATCTCCCCAGCCTATCTCCTCCCCCCGGCAGACCAAGGATCGCCTGCCACAGGGCCTGGGGGGTTGGGGGGATGATGCATTCATGGCAGCTGACCCCCTAGCCACATGGAAGGGGTTGATCTGCATGAGGAGCGTCCCCACTGTGCATGGAGCCCTGGGACACAATCAGACTCCTTTAGGGCCCGATCCTGTGAATCTATGCACAGTAAGCTGTCTGCTGGGGATCTCTCTGGGCAGGAGGAGTGAGAGATTCCTTCCTCCACTTGGCCGAGGAGGGGATGAGATGCTTGGGGGCTGCACCTGCAGCCTTGATGCCTCAGTGGCCTCCATACCATGTGCAACCCCACTCCAGAGTGTCCAAAGGATGGCAGCCATGCCCTTGCCTTGCCCCCACAGAGCCCTGTGTATCCCCTGAATGCTGACCCAGACTCTTCCCTCCACATGCTCCGCCCACTACTTTCTTCACACTGGTGGCTGGGCAGCAGAATGTGCCCCTCCACACGCAGGGGTGTTGAACGATACGTTTTTCCAACCAGCCCAGGAGACACTGACCCGCACGCACGGTGGAGAGGGCACCTGGGCAGTCGTTGTAAAAATGCATCATAGCTAGGTAGCACTTGGGGCCATGGGACAGGGATTCCCATTCTGATTGCTCTAAACTGGTGGGTTGTTTTTAAATTGGAGCCCAGTGCCTGATCTTCCTATAGTAGCAGGATTCCAAAGCCTTGTGGCCACATGTCAGGAACTTCCAGCTTTGGGACTGGGCCCTGAAATCCAAGCACTTGTAGGGTACGGCGAAGGGGGCTGTCAAGCGAGTCACCAGCCTCCAGCCCTCGTGCTGCTGGAACTCCAGACGCTGGTGCCCTGCGACCCTGCCGAGTCCCCGCTGTGCCTCACAGCTGGTTGCCGCTGCTGCTTCGTCTGGCTCTTGGCATCCAGGAGTTGGGTGATCTCTTCAAGGGAGGAAGTCTCCAAGTCGCTGTTCTCATCCACAAACTGCATGGGGAATGAGAGGAGACAGAATGAGCAAATATGGTGAGTGTGAGCCGGTGCTGTCTTTGCTGATAATGGCCTGGCTGTTTGCAGGGGGCTGGCATGGGGTTAGTGTAGTGCTTGCCCTCTGCACCCATGGGAGCATTTCCATGTGGCAAACCTTCCTTATCAGCCAAATACAAATTTAGGTTTATCAAATGCTTCCTTCAGCTACTGGTTTTCTGTTGCAGCTCCCCAGCACTTCCCAGGGCAAGGCAGGGCCACCTGTTGCCCAACAGCAGAACTACTTATAGGGTCAGATTATGGAGCATGAACTACAAGGACTCCCTAGGAAACTCAAACACACAGTTATGGGCCTGACCAGGCTGTTGGGATCATCTAGTTTGACCTCTTGCATAACACAGGCCAGAGGATCAGCCTGGGATTTCTGCACCAAGCCTACATCTTGTGGGTTGAACTGGAGTGTATATTTTAGAACGAGACATCCAGTCCTGATTTAATGGATCTGGGAGAGGAACGGGACAGAGCTGCTTGAAGTGTGTCAAGTTACAGAATTTTCATGACATTTCAAAAACTGGAAAAAAAAATACTTGGGGAACAATGTTGAGATAGTTGCAGAAAGTCTTCCCCTGAATCTGTTCCTAAACAATCCCTTGTGACCTATTGCCAGTGGGCACTGACATTAACTTTTGGCTCGGCCTCTGTCTCAATAAAACCAATGACATTTCACTCATTGAACAGGTCTGATACTTTATGTAAATTACAGCTACAACGCAGTCTTCCCAGGGATCTAAGGACGCAATCCTGCAGCTGGATTTGCCAGGATAGTTCCTTGTACCCACAAGTATCTTATAGCAGGATCGAGTTACTTTATACCCAAATAGAGGTATCTTTGTATTTTCTTGGGCGAGACTTGGCCTTACTTTGAGTGTCATTTATATACCCCACCTCCGAGGACTGTTTTCAGGTTCCTACTGTGATTTCAGTAAGGAATCCCCGTGTTAGTGGGTTGGCTGGGATTATTTCTGATTTATCCCACAACACCATGTTGTGCCCAAGTTGCATGAGAAGCGCAAGATTTAATGTGATGATGTAATTTGATGCTTGCTAGACTCCTTCCCCCCATGTTCATGGGTTGCAAATCATTTTGTAAATCTCACTCTTGGCTTTCTACTTTGCCAGATGAAGGCAGAGAATCTCTTTCACATTGTTGTGAAGAAACTTTATGGTATGCTCAATGGAACTGTTCAGGGAAAGTAATTTTAAAAAGCAATAGGACTTCAGTGCTGCAGCCATTTATGAGAAAGAGTTAATGTAATTAAAATTGAGGTTACATATGTCCCATTTTAGTAATCTGATAGTTTTTTCATCACGTCACCCCAATTAGCTCTGGACATGTTCCAGAGACTTCTGTTCAATTTCATTCCCAGGCATTTCATGTCTGTCTTTAACCATGTGAATTTCCATTTTCCAAAGATTGTGAATAGGCAAATATTTGGAAGGGGCTACAAAATAACTGGATGATGGGGCAGATCCTCCACAGCTGTAAATCACCATCGCTCCTCCCAGCAGAGACTGTCTATGTGACCAGGCCGCTGGGCCGATTTACACCAGCTAACAATCAGTCCATTTGGGCTAAACGCTGAGATGTCAGCACGGCCACATCTAGATCTCAAAGGCTGGTTCTGGTAATGCTGCCAGACTTGCAGCTTCACAGCTCTGAACCCTTGGGGCAGATGGAAATGCTGCTGTGATACCCACTGCTATTGCTCCAGTGCAAAGTTCTGTACAGGACGAGCTGGCCTTGGGAATCTGGGCTTCTCTTTCCTCTATCTGGGGCATATTGCATATTCTCCCCCCCTCCATGCAATTGTCCTAACTCCCTATACAAAGACCCACCTGGTCTGGGACAGGTTCCCTATTCTCACCCCTCAAGGTCCATGGTACTCTCGACCCTGACCCAGCTTATATGGTAGAACTGTTCTATGGGGAGGTGTTGGAGGAAGGCGGGAAAAAATCACACATTGAGTCTTCGGCTTTGCAGCTGGGGGGCCCAAATGAACAGCTGAACCAGGGACACCAGATTTACCTGAACCAACCATGGGGCTCTCTAGACATCACTGAACTATTGTTAGCCCAGACCATAAACACATATTCCTCCTCCCCAATGCGAACGCTCTAAAACTTCTTCCCCTACCCCAATGGCTTGTTATTTTTTGAGTCTCTGGCTATACAGTGGCCTCCGCTGGGAAATGGTTTGAGACGATGCTGGTCTCCACACTAAATCAATGCATTCCCAAATACCAGACATTTCCCTTTCTCTGCAAGTCTGCCTGTTGCACAAGGTACCTGGAGTTTCTTGGCTGAGAGACTCGATTTAGGAGAGTCAGAGGGCAAGGTGGGGAGGAGTTTTATTCCACCAGCAGGCTTCCTTGCTGGCATGCTCAGTGTGCGCTCCAGATTTTTAGCCATTGCAGACACCAGCGTCCCTGCACAGAACACAGCTTGTTAGAATTGGAATCCAGGGCCCTGCAGTCACAATGTCAATATCACTGCACAACTGATTTGCTCATCAGGACTCAGAGTGGATGGGAAAGGATTTCCTTCCAGACCCCTTTTCCAGTTTTAAAGGGAACGTGTTACTGGTGAAAGGTGTCAGTGATGGAGCTGAGAAGCCAACTATAGTTCATAGTACACAAGACTGGAAGGGATCTCCTGGGTCTCTGAGTCCAGTCCCGTGCTTTCTCAGGCAACCCAATCATATTGCTTGCAAACTTACCAAGCTCCGTCTTCAAACAATCTGGTTGTTTACCCCCAGTGCTCCTATCAGGAGGCTGTTCCAAAACCTCACTCCCCTGATGGTTAGAAACAGTCCTAACTTCCAGCCTCAATTCATCCATAGGGTAAATACAATCAGCTGCAAGATACCACAGCAGTGTGCCTCAATCCTGAGTTACTAAGGCTCCTGCTAAGCACCGCAGCTGCTAGTCCATGTCTAGTCAGTCCTTCCAAAAAGAGCTAATGTGGACTCTGGTTGTGGTGACATTTTTTTGTGATGCAGATGGCTGCCAGCTAGGCAGTGGATAGAAGCCACCCGCTCATTTCGTAGACTGGGCTGACTAGCAGGCAGGGAAGAATGACTTTTGTCCACGCCCAGCCTGGTTTAGCTCTGAACTGCTGGCCTGCACATGAAAGGCTTTGTGGCTCATGGCCAATCACTGAGATTACCCGTTATTGGTGATGTCAGTGCAAAGTACTGACATCGTGGAGGTGGAGCCACCAGGTCATTTCCATAGATGCCAAGGCCAGAAGGAACCATTGGGACCATCCAGTCTGATCTCCTGTGTAGCTCAGGCCAGAGAACTTCCCCAAAGTAATTCCTAGAGCAGAGCTTTTAGAAACACAGCCCATCTGGATTTAAAAATTGTCAGTGACAGAGAATCCACCACGAACCTTGGTAAGCTGCTCCAATGGTTTAGGGCCTGTCTAGTGACCTCCAGTTAACTGATTGCCAGTTAACTCAACATAGTTAGCATGTGTATAAGAAATAGTCTTAACATGCCCCAAATGTCTGTTCCAGGATAAAAGCACCTGTAGTTGACCATGGAGCTGGACACAGAGTGAACCACAAAGGCAATAGTTTTCACTGCCAAAAACCATTGATTTTACTGTGGGATAACTAAAATGCATTAACTATCCTGCTGGAAAGCCCTAGTGGAGACAAGGCTCTGAAGTTTTTACTGCGAGGAAGGTCAGTGAGATCAACACTATACCTCTGCCTGTGGTTCACCTGTGTACAAGGTTTATATCCTTCAACAAATGCTTGGGAAGCATTCACATTAGCCTAAAAAACCTTTGGTGCTACACAAGTCCTTTGTGTAGTGCTAGCTAAAAAACCTTTGGTGTACACAAGTCCTTTGCCAATAATGTGTATCAGGAGTGTCATTTAAAGGGACAACTTCAACATGTGAGACTAAAAATGTGGTACCCATGTAACACACTTGCCAAATGTCTGTCTCTGCGGTGGCTGCTCCACAGATGAAAGATGCCTGCTGCTGCTCCCAGGCAATGGACATCATTTAGCTCAAGCAGGAGAAGCTGGCGCATTGGAGCTAAAAGACCTGGATTTATTCCCCACTGGGGATTCAGCCAGGGAACTGTGGTAACTACTATAGCAGCTAAGGCTTCTATCTTAGAAGGGAGCTAGTTGAAATAAGTGATTCTCTCTGCTGTGCATTTGACAGCCCTTTGTAAATAGTTTGTTTCATTGTTTCCGTGTATAGTCAGTTTCTATCTTGCTTGAAATGCGCCCCCCCCAATAAATCTCAGTAGGGCAGCAGAAAAACCCTGATACTTGTTCCCCAAAAGCATTTTTTAAAAAGACAGCACACCCACCTTCAAGGGTGAGCTAGCAGAAACTAGCATTTTAGTCCATTTAAAAATGCCAAGCTGAGAGGTCCCTTTGAACAACATTATTTCTCACATCTAGAGAAGATATTGAGAAATCCCCTGGATTAATGGCAAGGCCTATTCTAAAAGGATAAAGAAGGAACCATGCACCCCACTCTCTGGGGGTTAAGAGGGGAGTGACTGCATTTTGAAAGCACATCAGTGTTAATCCCCTAACAAAGGCCCTAATTCAGGAAGGTACTTGTGTACATGTGTATGTTTATGCAGGTGAATAGTCCCATGGACTTCAGTGGGACTGCTCATTTGGATTGGGGCCAAAGTGACTTAGTAATGGCTCTGCAGGAAAATAGAACCTGGTTCTGTTTCTCATGGGGAGGAGTACGTACCCCGGAGCAGGGTGAAGGCTGCTTATCTGTGAACACCCCTTAGCAGAACCAGCAGCGTGCCACTGCAACTGACTCCCAAGAGTGCAGATGCATCAGGACAAAGTCTTGCTCCTGACACCCTTAGCTTGGCACCTCTGGGTCTTGTGTTAGGAAAAGCAGGGTGAGAAATGTCCTTTTCTGGGGCCTTGGCACTAGTGCACTTAGGATTTTATTTCTGGAGAATGACCACCCCATTCTCTTCACAATCAGTTTCCCGAGGGGTGAGAACAGGGGCCGAATAGACACTAACATACAATTACCCCTTTTGTTGGCTTAAGCTGTCAAATGTAGAAACAGATGTGCATGCAAATTTCCCCTTTCCTTCAGTATCAGGGTATGAACTATGATGGAGATTTCTGATTTTAGCACATTAACTATATTCCGATAGATTAAAATTATTATTTATGATTCACCTGTTGGAGTGGTTCCTATGGCTGGGCTGGCTTTTCCCTCAGAGGAATCGATGTCAGACCAGTCTGATGCGGTTTCGTCATTCTGAGTCAGCCTCAAAGGCGTTTGCGCTTGCTGCAGGGTGATGGGATGTTTGAATTTCACTGGGGTGAGGCTGGCGCGGTCTCCCCCTGAGTCTTCCTCGGAACTGAAAGGTGGGGTGCTGAAAGTAAAATGATGGAATAAGGAAAGGTCAGACATGGAGGAAGTGGAGGGCTCTGAGCAGCTGGGTCAGGGATATCTGGGACAATTTGTGATGAGGAGACCAAGATCGTTGTCATTAAATACAGATTGGCAGTGCTTTCAGCAGTTGGCTAGAAGACTGTGTGTTCAAGTCCCCTGGTGGGGCGAGAGCATATGTACAACCAGCACTGAAACTCTGAACAGCAAGGTAGAGTACTGGGGCAAATATTGGGCCTGTTTTCCTCTCCCCTCCTTCAACTCCATCCCACTGGTACCTGCAGCAGCTGCTCCATGCACCTCAACCTTGGCCTCAGCACCACACCACTTTCAGAGCCAGGCTATCACAGCTTCAGTACCTAGCTTGTTTCCCACCAGCAGGGGGAGCAGGAATTTCCAATTGCCAATTCATCTTCTTCAGTCCAAAATGCTGCCACAAAAACTCAAATATCTTGACCAATTCTTGGTCTACTTCCAGCCCATCTTCAAACCCCTCAGCTGGCTTCCTTTTCCTCCCTGGGGCAAATGTGAGCTCCTTGTTCTCACTTTTAAAACCCCACACAACTCAGTTACTCCATACCTCTCTTCTGTCATCTCTTATCCCCTCCCAGTTGCCCTCTTCATTCTGCCTAAGCAGCATGGCCTCTCCATTCTTGTTCTTCTAGTCCAGGGGTGGGCAAATTTTTTGGGCCGAGGGCCACATCTGGGTGGGGAAATTGTATGCAGGGCCGGGGCAGGTGGTTGGGGTGCATGAGGGAGTGCAGGGTGTGGGAGGGGGTGTGGTGTGCAGGAAGGGGCTCAGGGCAAGGGATTGGGGCAGAGGAGGGGTGCGGGGTGTATGAGGAGAATCAGGGAAGAGGGTTGGGGTGCAGGAGAGGTGTAGGGTGCAGGAGGGGGCTCAGGGCAGGGGTACAGGAGGGGTGCGGACTGCAGGAGGGGGCTCAGGGCAGGGGTTTGGGGTGCACAGGGGTGCAGGGTGCAACAGGGAGCTCAGGACAGGGGGTTGGGGTGCAGGAGGGGTGCGAGGTGCAGGCAGGGAGTTGGGGGGGCGGGGTGCAGGAGGGGTTTGGGCTCCGGCCTGGTGCCGCTTACCTAAAACGGATCCGGGGTGGCAGCAGCGCGCACTGGATCCAGGGCAGGCTCCCTGCATGCCTGCCCTATCCCCAGCCCCGTGCCGCTCCAGGAAGCGCTGCGTCCCTGGGGCGGGGGGAAGGGGGGGCACGGAGGACTCCGCGTGCGCTGCCCTTGCTGCGCCTCCAGGTAACTCCCCCGAAGCTCCCATTGGCCACAGTTCCCTGTTCCCAGCCAATGGGAGCTGGGGGGAGTGGGGCCTGGAGGCAAGGGTAACGCACGGAGCCCTCTGCCCCCCCGCCCGGGGACCGCAGGGGACCGCTTCTGAGAGCGGCGCGGGGCCCACGGCACTATGGGGGGCAATCCCGCGGGCCGGATCCGTAGTTTGCCCACCCCAGTTCTAGTCTCTTTTATTACTAGAGCTACTTGGAAATGTTTTATCAAAACATTTTTGATGAAAAATGCCACTTTTTTGTCAAAATGGAAATGTTCTGAAAAAGTGTTGACATTTCCTGTAGAGGGGAAAAACCCCAAAACAAAGCATTTTGATGATGTCAAAATGTCCTGGTTTGATATTCTTGGAATGGATTGTTTAGACTTTTCATTTGGAAACAAATTTCATTGGGTTTTATTTTATGTTCTATAAAACTTGAAAAAGTTAAAGGTCAAATTGGAACCAATGTTTAGATTTTATCAAAGTTTCTATGGACCTCCAGAACGTTTTTTGAATTTTGTTTTTGGGAAATTGTCTTGTTACAACACGTGGAAGCTCCTTCCCTGGAGGCTTTCAAAAGGAAGCTATATAGTCTTGGATGGTTTAGACACAACAAATCCTGCATCTTACCAGGGGGTTAGAGGCGGTCCCTTCTCACCCCACGGTTCTATGAATCAGAGTTAGTGTTGGTGTATCTACTCGAGCTGGAAATTACACCTCCATCCTTAGGGTAGACATACCCTCCGTGGGGCCTGCAGCTCAGACATTTCAGGTGCACCCCACGCAAAGCTTCCTGCCACAACAAATGATCTGCGTTTGCACCGCACCTAGCACAGTGGGGCCCTGGGGCTACTGCAGTCCACATCGTAATAGAATAGGGATGTCCAAGCTCGGTACGAGGTTGCTCACCCCAGTAAGCATGCTAGTGAAAGGCATGAGTGCAATGTCTGTGGTGAGGATGCGAGCTGTGGATGGGCCTCACCTCGGCTGCTGGATGGCAGCACGTCGTGGGCTGCTGGCTTTGCTTTGTGGCATTACTTTGGGCACCTCTGTTGGGCTGTGGGAATAGCTGGTTTTGCTCCGAGGAGCTGGTTTGGGCGTCTCCTCCGCATAGGGCTGTAACTCAACTTGCAGCGCTCTAGGCTGGGCAGATGCGACCCGGCAAGGCGACAGGGGGCTCTTCTGGCTTTTAGCTGGAAAGGTACAAGGGACACTGAGAGCAAAGGCTAGATGGACCTTTGGTCTGACCCGGTATGGACGTTCTTTAACACCTACAAACTGCTTGACCCATGCAGGTGTTTGCCCAGCAGCCAGGATTAGTGCTTGTAAATCGATACTGTTAAACTGGATTGGCTTAAGAAAAAGACATACAAAATGAGTGGTTGATCTGAACTCCCATGCTTTACCATCTAACATTCTCAAAATGTCACACAGCCAATGTAGCCAGTGTTAGGGGACTTCCTTTCCCTCCTACACACACACACATCCACTTCAAACTGGGAGGAGAGGTCAACATACGTGACTCTGTCTGATCCTTGGCCAATGCAGTAACTCGGCTGGTGTAACAGAGATCTGGTTTTAGGCTGCTCTAAACTATGCTGAAGGATGTTTTGGTCTCTAGCTGGCCCAAAAATAGAGAAGCAGAAAGGTGGGTTAGAATCACCTTCCTTCCCTCACCCCACCCACTCTCCTCATCTGCACTGTCCTTCTGATATTGCCTGTGTGGCATTCCACTAATATGTGACGATACTGAGCTTTGTGGCTCCCTGTAACTTCCATTCAATGGTGATAAACTGGCTCTCTGCATGTTCTAGCAACAGGCAGAAGGAAGAGAGTTTGCGAACCAGGCTCTTCTTGCAGCTCTTTTCCCTTTCAGCTCTTCCCCCCGCCCTCCATAGCTGAGAAGTGTGTGTTTTATTTTTATATATATATATATTTTTTTTTTTGCAAGCTCACTCAAGGCAAGCAGTGCACAGCGCAACTGCAAATGGTTATTTGACACTGAACACAATATCTATCTTGCCCAGTTTTCCTTGGGGATGCACAATGGGTCACGGAAATGTCTTGTAACAATAGCACTATGTTGGGATTGAACTCTTGTCTGCAGCACAGGTTTCCAAAGACAGCATCACAGCTCTTTACCTGAGACTATCAAAAGTTGCTGTGGCAAAACGCCATCATCCTTCTGGCGCTGCTTGACTTTCCAGGTGACCTCTCGGACTAGCTTGTCCCTCAAGCTGAGGAGATTTGGAAATTTCTTGGCCTTCTGCTGCTGCTGAGTCTTTACGAGGCAGCTCAGATTTTTATAGGTCTGAGCTGGAATCCCCTTCGCAGTCTAAAGTAGAGAGAATTGTGGGTAACATGACAACCACCCCAACATAATTCTGACACTGCCTCAGATGGTGAAACAAGCCTTCTCCCCTAAGGTACTCCATCACCTCTGAAAGAGAACCTGGCCTTCTGCAAACTATGGATCTCATCTAACTTTCCATCAGATTCACCTGGCTTTGGATCTGGCCTTATACCCAGAATGGTCATCAGCATAAGATGGAGAGACTCCTACCCCATCAGGTGACCCAGTATCACATTCCATCCATCCTTTGTACTGGGGGTTGACAATACATGTAATAAGAGTCCCAGCCCAGAGGAGTGTATGCTCCATTGAGGTGTGCTGCAGCAGGGTACCTACCAGCGGTGTGGACAAGTGAGCACTCTCGAGCCTCCACTCCTGTCAGCATCATGTACACCAGTCCCCAGACACACAGGAGATTTTTAATGATTTTCCTCACTTAGCCCTCACTAGAGACTGGTGACATTCAACCCCCACCTCTCCGGAACACACCACACACACACACAAGAGTGTCACTGGTAGCACACAGGGGCACACATGCCTGGACTGTATCTGCTCTGAGTAAGGCTAACCATTGGGTACATCTGCACTGCAAATGAAGGGGTGATTGTAGCAGGTGTAGATATACCTGTGCTAGCTTTAATCTAGCTAGCACGGGTAGCAATAGCAGTGAGGACATGGTGGCATGGATCCTGGTATAGGCTAACAATGTAAATACATACCCAGAGTCCCTGCTGGGCTAGTCCCCACTACCAGTGTTACCCATGCCACCTTCATCTGCAGTATAGTCATACCCACTATGCCATCAACCACCATGTTGCTCTACACCTATGAAGTGCCAGCGTAGACAGCGAGCATTGCTTTAGCAGCTGCAATTGTGTGGTTAGTCCTCCCAGTGCAATCCCACACGTCTCTGAAGGGGTAGGAAGAAGCTCAGAGAACTGGCTCTGTCACCTGCAGGGTCACACATGCTGACTGCATGCAAGCCCTAGAGGACCTGAGGCAGACTTGGGGTGCTCCCATCTCTGCCATGCCCCACTTCAATGCAGGTCTCAGTTGCTTTTGGCTCTGCCGGGTCTCCCTGGGAAGGGTGCACCCTCCCTCTCTGGAGCGTGAAGGAAGGACACAGAAACTGGATGACAAGCACTGGGCAGGGACTGTCTATGCAGCACCTGTTACAATGGGATCCTGATCTCAGTTAGGGCCTCTATTTAGCAAAGTAACTTAAATGAAATTTGAGGTGCTCTTTATATCCATGCAATGATCCCCCCCAAATATTAACTATACCCCAGCTAGCTAATTAACTTTTGAAACACTGGAAGGCGTGAAAGGGACAAGGAGGGAAGGGGTTGCACTGCAAACAGAGACGTCTCTCCCCGCCCTTTTTTGGTTTCCCCTCTCCTGATACTCACCCTCTTCACACCCATACTCTCCAGCTTCTCCTCCAACGTCTCCTCCAGAATGGGGCGGAACTGCTTCAGCAGGTTGGGATTCCTCCGCAGGGCTTCCAGGAGCCTCTGCTTCATGTCCAGGGTGTCCTCCAAGTCTGCGGCAAAACCCAAAATCACAAGGCTGGGTTTGGATGGACCAAACCTCAATATCAAAGTCAGAGCCAGAGATCTGGGACCAGAGGCCTGGTCCCTCCTGGGGACTTTCCTCTGTAGCAGAAGGTGGATTGGTAGCTCCCTGTTCCCCAGCTGTGGCATGTTTTCAAGTTTTTCTTCACAACCACAAGGGCAAGACATATATAAACAAAAGCTGAGATTCTAACATCATGAAAAGATCCTGGGAGTTGGGCCCTAGGCATGTGTCTATTGCGCCTCTATCTTAATCTGTCCCCACCATAACTTTCTCAATATCTGACCCACCCCAGACCACATCCCTGACTCGGCTGTTGAAAGGCAGATTATACCAATTTAATGAGTAAGGTGGGACCCATCCCAGGTTTCATTGGGAGAATCAGGTGCTCAGTTGTGCAGTTATTGTGTTGCCACACATTCATACTACGTTTCTCAAGCTGGTTGCAATTTTTCCATCTAAACTGATTTTGATGGAAAATTGGATTTTCATCTAAACAAAATTTTTCATGAAGTGTCTACTTTCTCTGAAATTATTTGATTTTTTTTGTCAAAAACCAAATGCCCCAAAACTGAAATGTTTTTGCCAAAAACTCATCAGAATACATCTCCCATGATGCACCATGGTCTCCTCTTGGGATTCCCTGATGTTCCACCTCCCTTCTCCAAGAGAAGATTCCATGGTGCATCCTGGGAGATGTAGTCCAACTCAGGAGCCTGAGCTATAGAGAAGAACGGGAGCATGAGGCACCCAAAGTACAACTCCCACGAGGCACCATAGCAGTATTTCCAAATTGAAATACTTTGGTTTTCAGCTGATTTTTTGTTTGGTAGTTATTTTTCTGCTGAAAAATTGAAAATTTTTGTGGGAAAAAATTAAATGAGAATGTGGGGTGATTATTCTCTTTCATTTTTGTCAAAAATTTCTTCCCATTTTTGACCAGCTCACAGTACATGGCTCCATAAGGCTGGGTCGGTAAGTGATTCTTGGCTTTCCCTTCCACTTTAACTCTCCCCAATGCTCAGGGATTGCTCCTGCAGACAGCACTACTCTTCCGAGGGAGGGATAGAGTGCTGACATTAGGGTGGCATTACCCTCTGGGTGCTGTTTGGTTGTACGATGTTGAGAGCTGAGGTACAATCAGGTTCTTTCTTACAGGGAGACAGTGTGGGCCAGAGTGCAAGACGGGCATCCTTGTTGAAAACATCTAACCCCAAGGAGCATGCAGAAGGCTGCTTGCTGTGATGCTGTTGCAATCAAGTGACCGTGCTCTGCTCAACTTTGGGGAGAAAACATTGGTGACAGAGTACCTCACCCAAGGCCTGTTTTGTCCCGAAATTCCTCCTTTTTGCACATCTTGATCAATGTCTAAAGTCCAACATCTGTGTGACACCAGGAGAGAAGGACTTTCATTTATATGATAGATACCTTCGTCAGAAGACTCCTCTAGATCTGGTACCCTGGGTATTTCCTGGGTCACTGCAGAGAAGAGAAATCCTTGATGACTGAGAGACCTACATACGATTAGTTACATATCCTGCTGGGAGGGACCTTCTCCCCAGAAAAGGAAGACTCACTCCTCTGATGAACGCTATGAAAACAATGGTCTTCAAAGCTAGTAACTCAACAGACTAGTACTCCATACAGACTCTTAGGACCTTGTAGGATGTGAGGAGGCGAGAAGGTCTGCCCCATTCATTTGAGTCTGGCACTGTAACTTTGTGCTTGTAACAGATGGGTAGAGAGCCTGGGCCTAAGCCAGCCCTGATTACAGGATGAGTTCCATCCGAGAGGAATCAGGTGATTACTACATAAAAGGAGCCAGGGTTAAGTGCCGACAGGGTCTGGTGGGGGGAAGAGCTGGAGGGACGGGACTGAGATGGCTTCTGCAGGGCCATGAGCAAGCAGAGAAGACAGCTCTCCAGGCAGGGAGAGACCCTGACTAAATGCAGAACAGACTGGGAGACCTTCAAGATAGGAAGGGGTCCTGGAAAAACTGCAATACAGGTAGAGGATCCAACCCAGAGTCAATGGAACCCAGAGTTGAGGGTGGGGCTGGGTTCCCTCACTGGCATAAACCCTTTACAAGGGTAGCTGAGCCCAGCAAGGGAGCAGCAGATTGAGCCAAGAAGAAGCCCCAGAGAAGGTGGAAGGATTTTTTTGTTTCTGTTATCGACATTTTGGACCTTTTAGTTGGGACAGTTGACTCGGGAAGGGGTGACCTTAAAATTCTGACCCAACTCAACTGCCAAGTTACCCAACAAGCCGTCACAGCGTTGGAATGACGGTTGGCAGGGGGTGCTGGCCCAGTGTGAGAGCTGCAATACCAAGCCAGGCCACAAGAGAGTGCCTAGTGGGGAGGGGACTGTTACAGTGATGGCAGGAATGTCTAAAATCTCTTTGCTGCCAAGACTGGTTTCTGACCCTTCAGGGATCTCTGCAGCTTAGCAGCCACAGCATCTGAAGGGAAGTCCTTGCTTTGCCCCGGGACTGGCATTGTGGGAAACCTCAATCTCAATGAGAAAATCTGAGCTGGAACAATTCCTTATTCTTGTGCAACTGATTTACTGGAACAAAGAATCGTTTGGGAGGGGATCTTACTTTTATTGCCAGATCTTGATTTATATCTGAATCCCTAGGGGCAAGTCTACACTATCGCACTACATTGGCATAGCTGCATTGCTGTAGCGTGTCTGGTAAAGATGCTGTATGCCGACGGGAAGGCACACTCCCATCAGCATAATTACTCCACCTCTGTGAGAGGCGGAACTATGTTGGTGGGAGAGCATCTCCCGCTGACATAGCACCAGTGTGGACAGTGCTTAGTTGCTGTAACTTGTGTCACTTAAGTATCTTTTTTACACCGCTGAGCTATGTACGTTACATCAACTTAAGCGGTAGTGTAGACCAGCCCTTAGACACGAGGGTCAGAAAACTTTAGATGCTAATGAGATATTTTCCTTGCTTGCTTGCCTGAACCAGCAAGTATGCTGTAAAGGCTGTCAAGAGAGAGATGAAGTTGCGGGGCGGTCACAGCTATGGAAATCTTAGCAGTTCTCACTCTCATTAACCCAAAAGACACAACATTACCTTCAGCTTTGCTTGCAGACAGTATCTTGATCTGCAAAGAAATTATCTATCATTATCCACCATTCAAAGACCAGTTTCTTTTGTCTGCAAAGTCTAGTAACTTTTTTATCTCTAACTGGAGTTTGCACCATTGGGCACATCATCAAAGGATGCACAAAATAATTCGATGAAAGGCCAAAGCGTAAGCTGAGTTCATCATACATGCAAGGGAGACATTTTTCCTAGAATTATACACCAGATGGTTCCTAGATGGACACTTTGCCAGCAGACGAAAGGAAAAGTTTTATTTATTACATACAATTATATGTAACACTATCTCAGTCAAAGGTCTGGAAAAGAACAGAAGAATCTCCAAGCCGCAATACAAAATGTTGTCCCATTATTATTCTGTACATGGCTCATGCTTGCTCATTCCCATATGTATGTGTTAATGTATGTGTTGTGATTTTGTGGGACTTAGGCCATTTCTACACTACAGGCACTACAATGCCAATGTAGCACCATAGTGCAGATGCTTCCTACATCTACGGAAGGGGATTTTCCATCCACGTAGTTAATCCATCTCCCCAAGCAGTGGTAGCAAAAGAATTCTTCCATCAATGGAGGCATGTCTATACCAGGGGTTAGGTTGTCTTAACTATAGAGCTCAGGGATGAGAATTTTTCACACCCCTGAGCAGTGTAGCTAGGAGGACCTAAACTGAAGTGTTGCCCAGGCCTGAGACCCTGATTTGACAAACCATTTTAGCACAGGCTCCTGCTTAAATCCATCCTGAGTTAGTAAAACATTTAAGCATGTGCTTAAAGTTAAGGACGTGCTTAAGTGCTTTGCTGAATCAGGGCCTACATCTTTAATTGTATCATTATATTTTAGCTCAAGCACCAGCAGCAGTTACAGTTGGGGGCCTTGAAGGACGCTTCTCGCCTCCTTATAACTGTTTGCCCTTTTCCCCCCCCTTCAAAACTAGTCATTTTTGAGACTGAGTAAAAAACCCAACGTTTTCCCCATTGTATATGAAAATCCTCCACTCATTTTTGGATAGCTCTAATACTTCAGCAGTTTGTGTAGGAAGCTGAAATACCTCAGGTAAATGGTCCTTACTGAGGAGAAGTGAGTGGCTTAAAAATCACACTTCAGATGCACTCTAAAGCAAATAACTGTTACTGCCTAGGCTGAAGATGCCATCTTCTGTAGCTCAAAGGCTGTGGCAGACTCATAAACTAGGTATGGCTTAGCCTTTGGAGTGGGACAAAGAGCCATGCTGTGTTCACAGGCCCACAAGAACATGGCAAGCTTACTGTTTTCTCCTGCGATCTGATAACCTTGGTCTGCTCTTTGAGCCGAGCATTGAGCGAGCCCATTTGCTGTTGGAAGCGGTCGGCAGCTATCCGTTGGTCCTGAGACAGGGAGGCCCGGAGTCTCTCATTTTCATTCTTCAACTGAGAGAGACAAGGAAGGTAATTATGAGATCTGGACGTGACGAGTATAAAATATGGTGAAAATACCATTTTGCCCGTTAGCTCAGATTGCTCTCCTGGTCACTGTTAAGTGGGGCAGCTCCTGGATTTTCACTTGCCTTGAGATTTTAGTTTGCATTGAGATCCAGTGGCATATTTATAAACTTCTGTTGCTCTCTTTTCCTGCTTGATCATAGGTTCAAATCAAGACCAAGTAGAGAGAGAAGAAACAGAAAATGCAGCTTCATCAAAATCAAAACATTTCATGGGAAAGTGTCATTTTGACTAAGTTTCTGATGGGAAAATGTCATAACTAATCATTTGACTTTTTTGTTTCATTTGATATTTCCATAAGGTAAAATATTTCACTATATTATTGAAACATAATGATATAAAATATTAACTACACTATAGATTTGACTTTACAATTTTGATTCAATTTGTCTATATTACATTAAAATTAACATATATGTATCTATAGTATTAAATATATCATTGAAATTTATATGTATCATTTTGATCAATTTTGTTTCAATTATATTAAAGTTGAATCTGTATTAGTTAATATTTTATCATGTTTCAATATTATTGAAATGAAACATTTCAATGGTCACAAATTTTCATGTCACAAGAAATTTCCAAGTGTCAGAATTTCCCACAAAGTGGAAATTCTATTTTCCAACCAGCTCTAATAGCAAGCGATCCACAGCTGCTGCTGTCTGATGGTGCTCAGTGCCCTCTGTGTAATGTTAGCAGATGGTGACTTTCCACTTTTGGAAGCACACATGGCCGCGTCACAAAGCCACTGTCACAACTGATGGCACCGTGGGAATCGTCCCATTGACTTTAACTGGAATCACATTGGGCCCTTATATTTCAAGTTACATTTTTGTTTACCCTAATCAGTCTATGACCAGCTCTGTAAAGTGTTTCTTCTCTATTGTAGGGGTGACAACATTGTATTTCAAAAATAAGGGATGGTTTTCTAAGTACCCCACCCACCATCCTCCTCCTGATATTATAATTATTATTATTTTATTTATTAAGTACTCACCTACCTGCACCAGGGCTATTTCTTGCAGCTTTCTGCAGCACTCAGTAATTCCCAATCTTGTGGCATAAAGATGAAAAAATAAGGGAAGTCCCTTGTAATAAGGGGCTGTTGGCAACCACACTGAAACCCCTTATTGTAAAACCCCTTGAGCTATTTTGTAAGAAAGCTACTGTTGAAAAAGAACATAAAAACAGCCATACTGGGTCTGACCAATGGTCCATCTAGTCCAGTATCGTGTCTTCTGACTGGCCAGTGCCTGATGATTCAGAAGGAGTGAACAGAATAGGACAATTGTGAGTGATCCATTCCATCATACAATCCCAGCTTCTGGGAATTGGAGATTTTAGGGACATATGGAGCATACTAGCTGCTTTGGCTAACAGCCATTGATGGACCTATCCACTCCATGAACTCATATAATTCTTTGTTGAGCCCACTTATACTTTTGGCCTTCACAACATCCCATGGCAAAAAAAAAATACACCTCTACCCTGATAAAATGCGGTCCTCGGGATCTGAAAAATCTCACCGTGTTATAGGTGAGACCGCGTTACATCGGGGTAGGGAGAGGAACCGCTCCCCGCCCCAGCTCACCTCTGCTCTGCCTCCTCCCCTGAGTGTGCCGCTACCGCTCTGCTTCTCCCTCCCTTCCAGGC